TTTTTAATATTTAGTTGTGTGTGTGTGTGGCCAGCTCAGCCCACCAGGGGGCGGGCATGTGGTGCTGGGGATTGATCCGCGGTCCCTGTGCTTTGCTAAGCTTGTTCTAAGTAGGTGCTTTAGACCACTGAGCCATCTTACCAGCCCAGGATCTGTCGTAAGGCAGTGTATATAAACCTGAATGATGGATTGACAGGTGGAGCAGCCTGTAGAGCAGGGAAGATTTAGTTGAGACAAGAAGAATTTAGGGTAAATATAGAGCTTCTGACCCAGGAATGAAGGGGAATCCGTCCTGGAGCCATCCTGAAACTGAACGCCTGGGAAGTTTACAGCTGGGAGAATGATCCTCCCGACCTGGGCTCAAGGCCCACCCACACTGAAGACACCCAGGCTGCTGAGGATGAGCGCAAAACCACAGGAGGTGGCGGAAAGTGAACTGGCATTGTGTTGTTGCTGCTAAAAAGGAGGAAGTGACAGTGGGTGGGGGCAGGGCCAGGCAGGCAGCACAGAAGGTCTGAGGTCCCTGAAGGGTGTCAGATCATGAGGCCACGAGGTCACTGGCTCCCCTCTCCCCGTGCTGTGCTGGAAATAGCTGCGGTTATGAACAGCTGAGATCATCAGGTTGGGGGTGAATCTCCAGGTCTGGGTGGGACACTGATACAGTTGTAGGGGCTTCCGGCCAGATGGCAGGAAAACCTAAGATGCGTATCTGGGGCTGAAACTAAGCAGAGAAGCAAAGTGGTGGCCTCAGGAACCACCCAAAAGAGCCATTCTGTCCTTTGATCAGCATAGGGAACTAAAAAAAAAAAAAAAAAAAAAAAAAAAAAAAAAAAAAACATCAGGAACTCTGAAAACTCCCTAGTGAGAGGCCATGCCTAGAAATCAGGCCGCCCCCGGAGGTGGTGATCTGTGTCTTTTCTTCATTAACATTTATTGAGCATTTACTGGGTGGGTGCTCGGCAAAGAGCCTGGCCCTGGGGATCCTGACGTGAACAGAGTACATTCCCTGCCCTCCAGAGCCTGGAAGTCTAGTCGGAGAGATAGACGCAAAACCAACACAGGCTCGTGAATTCTTTGTGAGAAGAGCTCATCATCTGAAGCCCAGAGAGCACAGCCCCAGCCCCAGCCCCAGCCCCAGCCCAGGCTGCAAATCAGGCAGGATGAGAATCACTCCCTGTGCCACAACAGCTCTCCAGTTCCTGGCACCATCCTGCTCAGGCATCTTGCCACTGTTTGGAGTGAAGGGAAATAATGTGGTTTGAGGAAAGCCTTGAAAATGTCAGTTTTCATTCCAGAGCCCTCTCCTGTACTCACCACAGCCTAGGAGGGCTGTTAGGTGCCTCTCCCAGTCCCGCCTAAGAACCCGTGTTGGCTTCCACCTAACAGGAGCAGGGGGTCGGTCTTCCTCTGGCCACGGAGGTTTTGCTCTTGGCATAAAGTCACCGAACGAAGGGAGACAAAAGACAGCTCATCATCTCTGGGAGTAGAGGTTATTAAACCAATCTCGGGGCTGGTGAGATGGCTCAGTGGTCTAAAGCACCTACTTAGAACAAGCTTAGCAAAGCACAGGGACCACGGTTCAATCCCCCAGCACCACATGCCAGCCAGCCCCGCCCCCTGGTGGGCTGAGCTGGCCGCGTGCGCACACACACACACACACACACACACACAAATAAATAAATAAAATTTAAAAAAAATAAAAAATAAAAAATAAACCAATCTCAACTGCGGCCAGGTGAGGTGCTGAGTAGAATAAGGACGCAGGCTTCAGAGTGCAGTGCGAAGCAGACCCTGAGGGGTTGAGCAGGGCCTGGACATGAGGAAGAGGGTGCAGGGCAGCTCTGGACCTGGAAAATGGGGAAAGCAACACAGAAGGAGTGGCCAGGCCACGCAGACTGAAGAGACTTAAGGGTCAGTGGAGAAGTTTTTTAGGGAGCAGGCGAACCTGGAGGAGTGAAGCAAGCCCAGAGAATAGGCTGTGCCCACCCAGGAAGTTCTCTTACCCCTCCCTACCCTATCACCTCTTAAGCCACAGCCTGGCCCCTTTCTGCCTTTGCCCAGGGTAGGGGATGGGGAGACACTGCTAAAACCTCAGGTCCCCCAGAGCCTACACACACCTCTGTGCACACCTCTGTGGAGCAGCTCTGAGTCCACTGGGTACCCGACCAGCACAGCCTCTTCCCTACTATGTCATCTCCAGTGTGGAGCAGGCTCTGCTGAGCTTCTCAGAGGCCCCTTGAGGGTAACAGAGTTCCGAACGACCATCTGGACTGCCTGTGTGATGCTGCACAAAGTGCTGGACCTCTCCGGGCCTCAGCCTCCTATTGGTTCACTTACAGTCTGTGCCCTAGGATCTGTCTAAGGCGGTGTATGTAAACCTGAATGATGGATTGACAGGTGGAATTTGCCCTGAGCCTGGAAGTGGGCACTTGCAGGCAGTTTCACTTACCAGCTGCCTGATGCAATTCCTAGCCTGTGGTCCACGTGTGCTCTGCACAGATGCTGGTATCTCAGGAATGTGTGAACACGTGTGCTTTCTGTGAAGATGGCAGTTTACATTGGACACTCCAGGAAGCTGGAGACTGGGGAGTGCTGGGGCTCCCTGAATGGGGTTCATGTTCCCACAGCCATCTCTCCACCAGCAAGGCAGTTGCTCAGGCCAGTGCTCAAGCAGCCCCATGCTCTAGAGACAGGTTCCCACTACCGTGCCCAGTGTGCCTATGCCAGAGCAGGGCCCACAGAGCATGAGGGCCCATGCCAGGAGACAGGTCCTCCCCCTGGCCTGGCCCTCTTGGAGGGCTGGGATCCAGTCTACGGACCATGTTGGAAAGGGAACCCATAAGTGGAATTGTTTCTAGGGACCAAACATATGCCAGACTGTCAAATGATTACTTTGTGGGGTTTTGGGGGGGTTATGTGTTTGTTTGGTTGTTTGTGGTACTGGAAATCAAACCTAGAACCTTGGTTATGCTAGGCAAGCACCCTACCACTGAAATGCTTGAAATAACAGGTGTGCACCGTGGCACTTGCTGAATGTCACCTGTAATCTCAGGTTCCTGGGAGGCTGAGGCGGGAAGATCCAAAGTTTAAGTTTGATCTGGGCAATTTAACAAGACTGTCTCAAAATTTTAAAAAGTTTTGGGAATGTAACTCAGTCAAAAGCCTTGGGTTCAATTCCTAGTACAGTTCCTGGGTTCAATTTGAAAGAAAGAAGAAAGAGGAAGGAAGGAAGGAAGGAAGGAAGGAAGAAGGAAGGGGCTCTCTGCTTCTGTGCTCCTGCTGACAGCTCTTCTTCCCGTGCAGCGAGCAGCAATCCAGACAAGATGGTGAAGGTTGGACTGAACGGATTTGGCCATATTGGACGCCTGGTCACCAGAGCTGCTTTTAACTCTGGCAAGGTGGGTGTTGTGGCCATCAATGACTCCTTCATTGGCCTCAACTACATGGTCTACACGTTCCAGTATGATTCCACCCCCGGCAAGTTCCATGGCACTGTCAAGGCTGAGAATGGGAAGCTCGTCATCAATGCAAAAGCCAAGAGCAAGATCCCACCAACATCAAGCTGGCGCTGCGTAAGTGGTGGAGTCCACTGGTGTCTTCCCCACCATGGAGAAGTCCGGGGCTCCCCTGAAGGGTGGTGCCAAAAGGGTCATCATCTCTGCTCCTTCTGCCTATGCCCCCATGTTTGCGATGGCTGTGAATTACAAGAAGTACAACTCCCTCAAGATTGTCAACAACGCTCTGTACCACCAACTGCTTAGCCTCACTGGCCAAGGTCATCCATGACAACTTCAGCATTGTGGAGAGACTCATGACCACAGTCCACGTCATCACTGCCACCCAGAAGACTGTGGACAGCCCCTCTGGGAAGCTGTGGCGTGATGGCCTTGGGGCTGCCCAGAACATCATCCCTGCATTCACTGGTGCTGCCAAGGCTGTGGGCAAGGTCATCCCAGAGCTGAATGGGAAGCTCACAGGCATGACCTTCTGTGTGCCCACTTCCAATGTGTCAGTGGTGGATCTGACCTGCTGCCTGGAGAAAGTGGCTAAATACAACGACATCAAGAAGGTGGTGAAGCAGGCATCAGATGGTCCCCTCAAAGGCATCTTGGGCTATACTGAGGACCACGTTGTGTCCTGTGACTTCAACAGCGACACCCACTCTTCTACCTTTGATGCTGGGGCTGGTGTCACCCTGAAGAACCACTTTGTGAAGCTCATTTCCTGGTATGACAATGAGTTTGGCTACAGCAACAGGGTGGTGGACCTCTGGTCCACATGGCCTCCAAGGAGTAAGTGCCCTCCCAATAGCCCAGTGAGACAAGAGGGACGGAGAGGCCACGCTGTAGAAGTCACTGCCCTACTCAGCCCCAACCCTGAGAATCTCCCCTCACAGCATCTATCCCAGGTCCCCTAGAAGGAGAGGGGCCTCGGGAACCCTGGCTGGCTGCCATTGCACACCATCAATAAAGCCCACTGTACCCAGCCAAAAAAAGGAAAAAGAAAGGAAGAAAGAAAGATCCTACCAGTGAGTCCTGTCTCCAGGGGAGTGGAACAAGACTCTTGCTGCCCCACATACATATTCTTGCAGTAAGGAATGATGCAGATGAAATCCAAACTGTATTTCCGAAGAGGGGGAGGAATGACAGTGGCACTCCCTTCAGATGAGGGGAGAGTGGGTGAAGCCTGTGGGGCAAGAGAAAATAGGCAGTCACACCAGGTCCCAGTGCCATGGTGTCCTGTGGGGCATGGCATGGGATAGCTCTGAAGAGGCAGGAAGCAGGGCTGGAGAGCAGAGGGGAAGCCATTGCCCCCATGGAAGGCTGGTGCTCTGCTCGGGAAGACGCGCTGGGCTGCACTCCTGGGTCAGCCAGAGGGTGGAGATGCGCAGATGGCTCACTGGTGAGTCACCCAACCATTGTCTGCCCCTGCTCCTTCTGGGGTAGGGCAGCTGTGGAGACAAAGCTTCTGGCCTACTGGGCCTGTGAGGGCAAGTTCCCCACCCTTGTCTTCACAGCTCTGGGGACAGTTGGGGCTTGGCTCCCTGGTCATCCTTGCCCACTACCCAACTAGACAGGACTGGTGAGCTGGCACTGGCTGACCCTGAGAGTGGGCTGTACATCTGACACTGAGTTTACACCTTGATGGGTCTGGGGTGGAGACGGTGCCCTGCTCGCCTGGCAGGCACACCTCCAGTGATCACTCTGAGCCTGGGAGGTGTCCTCTTACCACACCCTTCCTAACCTCCTCCCAGACCTGCTCTCATCCAGCAGGCCTGTCCACACCACGCCCTCTCCGTGGCCCCAGTGCCTGCAGAGAGCAGAGGTAACTATAGGTCAGGGTGCATAGGGGACCCTGTCCCTCCTGACTTGTCTGCTGAAGCAGTGGATCATCTGTCCTAACCTCCAGTCAAGCCTGAGCTTGTGTCCCTGATGTCTCCTGGGTGGGGGGCCACAGAAGCACAGGCCAATAGAATATCAATGGGGAAACTGAGTCCACAGAGGCCAGAGGCAAGTAGCAGGGACACCCAGTCTGTGGGAGGCAAGTGGGAAAGGAGGAGTTGTCCTCTGGGAATCTGAAGGTGCTTCTGTTTGGGTACAGTCAGGTGAGAGTCACTTTCTAGATCTTCTGCGACTGATTTTCTTGTTCTTGGCTTCTCCTTGGGCCAAATGAAGGTGCTAGAGGTGAGGGACTGAGGTAGAAAGCTGGCCCCATGTGGGCAGTGCCAGGGGCCCTGAGGCCAGGCAGGGGCAGGGGCGTGCCAGGGGCCTTGAAGCCAGGCAGACTCAAGTTAAACCCTGGGGCCTCCCTCCACCTTCCACAAGTAGCTCTCTCTGTGGCCCAGCTTTCTCTTCTGTTAAATGATGACAGTGCTATTTGAGGACCTCAGATGCACCTAGTGTGGCTCAGGGTGGAGCCAGGGTCCCTCCCACTTCCAGCCCACCTCTCCTTCTCCAGTGTGTGCAGACACCAGGCGGCCCTGGGATTGCTTTTCCCTTTCCACTTCTTCAAAATGTATATATCTGCTTTTGTTCTCCACATTCCAGACTCCAGCCTTTTTCTCCCACAGAGCCCAGAAAGTGTTCAATGAGTTAAATTAATTCAACTAAGCTGTGAGTGGCTGGGGATTTGTACCATCACTCTTGGTCCCAAGGGCGCCTGCCCTGTACATGAATAAGCCATGCTGAGCCTGACTGGGTTGCCAGACTTTGGTGGTGGCCTGCGGTGTTGCTGGGAAACCCAAATTTACCTTGGGTCGGCCATGGGCCAACTGTGTGTCTGTGAGTCAGTTCTGTTCGTCTTTTTGAGACTCAGTTTGCTCCTCTGCAAAGTGGGGCCAGGTGGCGCCTCAACCAGCCGCTCTCCAGGGCTGAGGACAAAATGAACCAGCGCATACAGAAACTCTGTGCTAGCCATGAGGTCCTGGACAGAAAAAAGGATTCACGCTGCCACACCTTGGGGCCAGGGCGGGGCCTCTGTACACCCTCCAGTTCTGCCAGAGCAGACAGTGACCACAGGCAGAAGCCACTGCCTTGTGATCTTATAGCTGCGAGCCTGAGGGTGGGAACCCTGGCATCTGCCAAATTCAGCCTGCTCCTGGGGTGACAGAGAGGCCAGTGGAGGCTAAATCTTGCCCCCTCCCTCATTTAGAGTTCTCTGGCCCCATTGTAGGCATCCAGCAGTGAGGACCCTTGGAGTTGTCAGAGCATGGAGTTTCAGACCTAGCTGTTCCCCACCCCAACCTACCATCAGCCCCTGATTCTGCACACAATCCTGCTCATGGCCTCAGCCAAACCTTCCCTCCACAGTGGATGCCTCCCTGGAGTTGGTGTCAAGCAGACACCTTGTGGGGTCTTCCTGAACTCCCAGGGCATGGCTCCTCTTTAGCCTCATCCATCTGTCCACCCCAACCCCCCATTTTGGGTAGAGTGCTGCCTAGGTGTATGCAATCCTAGCTTTGAAATCCAGAACTTCCATTCCCCAAATATTAAGGCTTTCTGAGTTCTCCATTTGTGCAGACAGAAAGACCAAGGCCCAGAGAGGTGATGCGATCTGCTCAGCATCACACAGCACACCTCAGCGTCCACCCCCAGGGCACAGAATTCAAGGACAGTCTGGTTCTTCCTGAGGGGATTGCTTTCATTTCCCTTTGATCCCAGAGCTATTCTCTTTCCCTTTTGCTCTCAAGCACTGAACAACCCATCCGAAGCTGTCAAAGCCCGGAAGTTCTGGGACAGTTTCCTTTCTCCCAAAGCTATCCTCACTCTGGTTCCTTCTCATCATGATGGACAGAGAAGGGGCTGGGGAGATAGCTCAGTGGAATAAGCACTTGCCTGGCAAGCTCAAGGACCTGAGTTCAATTGCTGGTTCCTCAAAAAAAAAAAAAAAAAAAAGACAGAGAAGCCCCTTCTCCAGGCATCCTGCTCCTGGCGTGTGGGCAGGGCTGAAGTATGAAGTAGCTGCCCACATCCTGTCTGTAGTGAGTGCCTGGAGCAAGCAGTATCATCCATCCCACCTCCAGCTTAGCTGGCCTGCTGGAGCTCTCACCCATGGTGCTTTGGGCCGGAGCACAGCTCTTCCTGCCCTAGCCCACCACACCCAACTCTGCCGGCTTCCACCTTGGCGGTGAGTGAGGAGGGCCTGTGACTGCGCTGGCTGGGTTGAAATCTAACTTCCTCTCCCTCCTTTCCTTTCTTTCCCTTTCTTTCTTTCTTTCTTTCTTTCTTTCTTTCTTTCTTTCTTTCTTTCTTTCTTTCTTTCTTTCTTTCTTTCTTTCTTCTTTCTTCTTTCTTCCTTCCTTCCTTCCTTCCTTCCTTCCTTCCTTTCCTTCCTTCCTTCATCTTCCTCACCTGTCTCTCCTTCCTCCTTCTTTTATATGTGGTCTCTGAGTGGGGCTGTATTTCATCTCCCTACTTATTTATTCATTTATTTATTAATTACCTATTTGGTGGTGCTGGAGATCAAACCCAGTGGTGCTTTGCCACTGAGTTACTTTTTTTTTTAAATTTTCTTTTTGGTGAAATTTGGTCTTGCTAAACAGCTAGATGTGCCCCGGCTGGGCTTAAATTTGTGCTCCTTCTACTCTTAGCCTTCTAGAGGCCTGGAATTATAGGCCTGCACCACAGGCCTGACTAAACCTGTACTTCATAAGTGGAGTTGAACCTAAAGCTGGGTGGTTTGGGGTCACATGTCTGGACTCCAGGCTGCCAAGCACTGATGAAATCCTAAGAGCAGCAGAGGAGAAAATGGAGAAAGAAAGAAAAAGAAAGAGACACTACTCTTCCCTCCTTCTTAACCGCCAGGTTGCCAGCTCTCTGGCCTTTCCATCCTGGCCTGGCCTGGTCCCATTTGTCTGAGAAAGTGAGGAGGGGGGTCAGTCACAGACACACAGCAGGTGTGTGTTGGCATTTTATCTCCAACCTGCATTCATGTCTCAGCCAACTCAGAGGAAAGCCCCTCTTCTGACCTCCATCTTGAGTCAAAATGCCTGGGGTCATATCAGCTGAGAAAGGGACAGGGCACCCAACCAGAGACAGCACAGGTCACAAGTGGGTGACTTGTTAACTGCTGAAAGACCTGACCTTCCTGCAGGACACCAGAGAACCGAGCCCCAGAACAGCCAGAGAGCAACCCAGCTCTTTCTAGAGCACATTCTTTAAACTTGTCTTCAGTGAGCTAAAATTGTCACCAGAATCACCACAGTAGCCAGGCAATGGTACTCACCTGTAATTCCAGCACTCTAGGAGTTTGAGGCATGAGCACTGTAAGTTGGAACCTAGCCTAGGCAATTTAGCAACTTAGACCCTATCTCGAAAAATAATGAAAAAGGGCTGGGGATATAGCTCATTGTGAAGGTTCTGGGTTAATGCTCAGTACCAAAAATTTAAAAAAGGAAGGTAAGGAAGGGTACAGGGCCTGAGCACCTGGAGCCTGGCGAGTTTCCCTCTGGAGCTTCCAGAAGCAGAGCCAAGTTGATGGCCGGCTGTCTGGCCCATGGTCTTGTCCAGCCCTGCCGGGCTCAGGACACTTCTGGCATACAGGAACCTTTGGGTTAGAGGGCCAAAGGCAGGTGGGCTTGCAGAAGCTCCTTGAATATGGGAGGCAGCGCAGCTGCCCAGGCTGCCCCACCCAGGCTGCCCTTCTCACTTGTTGGGTGACTCAGGACCTACCAACAGGTCTGGATGTGCTGGGGCGAGCCCAGCCTCCACCCCACCCTCCACGGTGTCCTGCGAGCCTTCCATCTCCACCTGAAGGCTGGCCAGTGTCCCAACACCTGCTGAGCCCTGGCCCTGGGCAGATCGGGCCCTTCCTGAGGGCCTCAGTTGGCCTGACAGTTCTGACACGTAGCTCTCAAGGGGAAAGAGCTGTGGGCCCTGGGGACTAGGAATGGAACCTGACATCTGGGCCTCACCCATGTCCTACTAGGCAGGTGACACAGGCATGTTTAAGTGGGAAACTGAGGCTCGTGACCTCAGTTTTGATTCATACGTGTGGGAAAACTTCTCTTCCCCCCTCCATCCTGCAGCATGGTGCCTGAAGCTGATATCAGCTAGAAAGGGATGGGGACACCCAAAGGTAGCTAAGACCATGGCCTATAGGAAGAAGAGCCCCCCAACACTGGTACACCCACAAGCTTAGTGTGGAGGCAGCTGGCCTAGGCCAGGCAAGCTTCATCCAGCCCCTGCCAAGCTGGGCTGGGACCCTGGGACTGGGTCAGCTTTGTCTAAGAGACCAAGGGGAGAGGTCTCTGGGAATGAGCAGGCTCTTAGCTTCCAGAGAAGAGGAATGGGTGGGAAGGCTTCTGCTGGGCTCTCAGGGGCTGCAGTCTGAGGCCTGCTTGGTTCTGTGGGTTCCTGGATTTCTCTAGCAGCTCTAGCCCTGCCACTGAACACAGGCAGACCCAGGACAAGGTATGATAGCAACCGCCTGGGTTGACTGCTCTGTTGTTCCAAGCACTATGCTGAATCTTGACACACACCCAAGATCTTGCGCCTGTGTCATCCATGCCCACTGGCAGACCGGAGGACTGGTCTGACAGCAGCTGGAGCCAAATAGAAGGCAAGCGGCAGTGCTGGGGCAGGAGCTCAGGTCTGCCTCTCCCCTACCATGGAGATCTGGCTTTACTTAAGAGTCCTGCCAGTTACAGCAAAATTAGGTAGCACCCAAAATCTCTCCAGGTGTCCTAGTGCCATTCCCCTTATCTCTGCCTGTAGTTCCAATGTCTTTTCCCATGCCTCTCTGCAGCCCAGAACCACTTGCAATACCCTGACCTGAGCTGTGTGGTAATCTTTGCAGGGCTGCACCTGCTGGGACCCGCAAGACTGCGGGATGCTGGCTCTGCACAGGGACCGCCAGCAAGTGCTCAGCGCTGCGGAAGCCCCAATCCAGGCAGAGGCGCCTTCTTAACTGCTCTCTCGTAGACATGTAGGCCATGGGGAGGGCACCAGTCTGGCTGAGCTCCCAGTCCCCCCATCCATGGGATGGATGTTCCAAGCCCAGCCTCAGGTTAGTCCTACAACTGGAAGGAGGCTGAGTCCCTGTGGTGGTGGCCACTGTGATTTAGCAACTCTGTGAACCCCGGGTAAGAGCAGGAGACTGGCTGGAGGCAGCACATGGGAGGCAGAGCCCTTGCAGAGAAATCGGAGGCTCAGATCAACAAAGTGACATCAGTGGGCATCAGAGGCACCAAACCGAAAGCCAGATGGCAGGGCTTCTCTGGATACGGTTTCCACAGGGAGGCAAACACGCAGGGTGCATTGTCCTGTGAGCAGGGACCTGGGACTTCTCCCCTCCTCCCTTTACTGTGGACTGGGGCCAGCTGTAACATTTAAGAGCCAGCACTAGGAAGGCACCTGACCTTGGGAGGAATGTGGAAAATGTCTGCCTCTCACAACAGCCACCCCCCACCTGGGACCCAAGAATGCAGGCTCTGGGCCACCTGTGGCCCCCAAGGGAGGTGTGTGCATGCATGTGGTTGGAGGCGAAGGGGGTGCAGGGTCTCGGAATGATGACGTTGGAAGGTTTTGTAAGGTCACCAGCTGAAACACCCACATAGCACAAAGGGTGAGGTCAAACTGTTAATGCCACCCTCCCCGAGTGGCACTAGCACTTTCTCTTGTGATCTGATCTCTCGGGACATCTAGGGCACTGTCTCTGACTCCCTGTGTGCCTGGGAGCCTGGGGCCACAGATACAGATGCAGCTTTAGACTTGTGAGGCTCACAGAACGGAAATGAGCAGCAACTGTGCCTATCCTACTCCACTATGGAAAGTGGGGTCCCTCAACGTGTGACTCGCTGGGTCACTAATTACAGGCCAGAGCCCAGGGCTTTTCCCACAATCGCTTCCCTGTAGGTAAGCATCCCTCCTCCCAAGAGGGAGACTCAGGTGGCTTCTTCTGACTCCCATGCGGCTCCTGCTGGGAATCTAGCACCTGCCTTCTGCGGGAACTGCCAGGGGTGGGTTGCAGACAGAGGTTCTGGCCTCTAGGAAAATAAAGCTACACGCCAGCTCCTGGAAACAGGTGCGCCTCTTTGACCTGGCAGTGGGCACTGGCAAAGTAGCTGCTTTGAGAAAGGTTTCAGAGTAATGACTCTGCTGCCATCTAGTGGCCACACTTGGGTATGACTGCTGTCATCCAGGCCTTCAGGCTTGCTTTGTTTGGTATCAAGATCCGAAAAAGGCCTCCGGCTAGCAAATGAGGCCCAGCCTGTGCTACCCAGAATGCTTGGGTGGGGGGGGACAGCTCCGTGGCTTCCGTGCTGACAATGTAATCAACCAACACCAGACAGAATGGATTGAAAATTTAGAGGCTATTTATTTCTCAGGAAGGTCCACACAGCTGGCAGGCACTGCTTTCCCTGCTCCGGGGGATTCCTCTCTCCCGTTCCAAGAAATGCCCTCTGTGCTTGGAAGTACCCGTGGGGAGGCTGAGATGTGAACAGAAACCATCACAACACTCCACAGCTTTAAAAAAAGAAAGCAACAACAGCAGCCTCTCCACAAATACACACATACAAAATAAATAGACATATAAAAGAGAGGCCACACTCTTCCCACCCAGCTATGGGGCTGTGCGGGGTAGTGGGGCTGGGGAGCTCCACCCCACTTCTCCCAGCCAGGATGTTCCAGAAGCTACACAGGATGGAATACCTGATGAGCCAAGGACAAGCCCTGGCTTCCCAGGGAAGACCAGGCAGGTCCTCTTCCTGGAGCTCAGGAAGGGCAAGGGAAAAAGGAACAAATAAATAAATAAATAAATAGGATCCAGTGCTTGCCCAGAGGCAGAAGGGCTTGGAGCCCCCGGGGCCTGTTCCCTAAAAACAGAAGATCCAGTGACAGGCAGGAAGAGACCAGCAGGGAACACACGAGTCCAAAGCCACACCAGCCTCAAGCCTGTATCTTCAGACCAGGGCAGAACCCAGCCCCAGCAGCCAGGCCCAACCAGCTCTGTGGAAAGAGGGGCAAGGGATGGGCTGTGCTCTCCAGAGCTGCTTGGCGCCTGCTCTGAGGCCCTGGTTGTGTCTGCAGCCTGGGAGCCGCGCCTTCCTGTGCTTTCTGGGCCCAGCACAATCTCTCCCTCAGTCGCCTTTCTCTTGTCTCCATGGGAGGCCATGGCTGCCTATAGGTTAGGCTCTCTCCTCGGAAAATGGAAGTGAGAGACCTGGCTTTCCCTTGTTCTTACTGGCCTTCTTGACCTGGGGCATCCCAAGGTCAGCTGGGAGAATTCCTGTAAATAATCAAAACGACCCAGTCCTGGTGTCCTCCGCTAGGCCACAGAGAAAAGGTGTCAGACAAAAGCAAGAACAGAGGAGCGATGGGCACAGCTGTAATGGACAGCTTGGGCAGGAGGCCAAACCGGACACATGAAGTCCAAGGGACTCTGAAGTCCCAGGGTCCCCCTTGGAAAAGTAGCCAGCAGGAGGCCAGGGAGCATGGGGTGGGGCAGGCTGGCCACTCAGCTGGGCAGCAACACGTGCTCCAGGAGGTAGGTGAGGGAATCCCAGTGCTTCCAGAGCAGGAAGAGGACGAGGACCAGGAGGGCGGTGCTGGTGATGCGCAGACGCGTCTTCATGAGCGGCGTGATGAAGTTGGCGATGGTGGACACGAACACCAGCAGCACAGCCATGAGTGCCAGGATTACGTTGATGAACTTGCCCAGCAGGGCCCGTGCGTTGGCATTCTCCACGCCCTCCAGCTGCACCACCTGCTGCTGCTGCTGCTGCAGCTCCAGCTTGGTGACTCGGGTCAGGCAGGACTCCACGGCCTCCTGCGGGGATGGGAGCCAGGGATGGGCAGTTTAAATGGGGTTCCTCCACTGCTCACGGGCTGGAAGCTTTGTCCCCAGTGTGGCAAAGCCAGGAAAGGGAGAAATATTTAAGGGGTGGGGCCTCAGCCCGGTATGCTGGTGCACACCTGTAATCTCAGCATTCTGGGAGGCTGAGGAAGGAATGCTAAGTGTGAACTCAGCACAGTCAATTTGGTAGAGAACCTATTGCAAAAAATAAAAAAGGTTGGGCATGGTCACATGTACCTGTAATCCTAGCACTCAGGAGGCTGAGGCAGGAGAACTACTGTGAGTTTAAAGCCAGCCTGGGGTACATAGTAAGTTCATGTCCATCTTAAACTACATGACAAGACCCTGTCTCAAAAAACCAACCAAACAAACAAAAAAAGGCTGCCTGGAGCTGGAGCTCACTGTGAAGGTCCTAGGCTCCACGTTCAGTACTGCAAAAAAAAAAAAAAAAAAAAAACATCCAGAAGAGGAGCCTAGTGTATGACAATCAGGTCACAGGGGCACTGTCCTCAGGAAGGACTAGCAGTAGCTAGCAGAGAGTAAATTACTGTGAGTGGGTTGTGATATATACATTAAAAAAATTTTTTTTATGTATTTGGCACAGGGTCTCACTATGCAGCTCAGACTGGCAGTGATCCTGTTTTCAGGCTCCCCAGTGCTGGGATTACAGGCATGCACCGCCACCACACACAGTCTACTGTGGCCGGCTCAGTGTGCCCAGGGTGGGGCCAGCGCGGCATGTGGTGCCAGGGATCAAACCCCAGTCCCTGGGCTTACCTGAGCAAGCACCTAGTCCTCTGAGTTATCACACCAGCCCTGGATTGTTATAAAAGTGCAAACGTGAGCCCCGATCTCAGTTTCCTGCCCGCCACACAATCTCTTCTGTACAGCTCCTAGCACTGTGAGGCCTCCCACCGTGCACCGTCCCAGAGGCCAGCACGAGCTGGCCACACGCTGCTGGCTTCTAGAACTGCAGGCCCTTCCCTTCACAGATTACTTGGCCGTGGGCATGCTGTGACAGCAACAGAAAAGGGTGTAGCATGCCGCCCTACTCAAAAGGGGACAATACCAGGGGCCCTTTGCCAAAGTTCAGGGGTCTGGGGGTGGGCTGATCAGCTGCAGCTGGGGGACAGCCCTTTACTGTGACTTTCTGTCTTGGTAAATGGGAGTCTTGATGAGCAAAGCAAAGAGGCTAGCGTGGGTTCAGCTCTCCCGAGGGACTGAGGCCCGCCCATGGCAAGGGCAGGGCATAGGTAGCCCAGGCTGGGCTGTGGTCACCGTGGCCTTGGCACTCTTGGCCATAGGTCCGCTCGCTCTTGCCCTCCCATGCACTGCCCTTGCCATCCACATCCCCCAGTTGTTCCACGGTCGTAGCTCTGCCAGTACCACCGGGGCCTCCCCAGGGTCGTCCCTGGCCTACCTGGATGTCCCGAGCTCTCTCATAGGACTGGTAGGCCACCTTCTCCTCCATGCTGGCCAGCTCCTGCTTCAGGTTGGTCATCTCGTTTTGGTGAAGCTCAGTCAAGTCATTCAGCTGCTCCTCTAGCCGCTCGTACCTGGAGTGCAAGGGAGAGTGACATCAGCCCCGGCTGCAAGCTACCTTCCTTTCCCCATGACCAACTATTCGTTCTCTCAGCACTTAATGAACCTACTCCCCAGGACCAGCCCTGTTCTAATTTGAATCCCACAACCATCAAAGCCATTATTTACACAGCACTTCTACATGCAAGGCATTGTGCCAAGCACTTTACCCACGTTATTCATAGAACAGCACAGCAGCCCCATGAGATGGTACCAGTGGTGCCCCCATTTGACAGACTGGAAGACTGAGACCCAGGGGCTAGGAACCCATCTAGGATCACACAGCTCTTGAATGGGGGAGTTAAGGATAGATGGGGAGCCGGGAGATAGCTCAGTAGAATAAGCGCTTGCCTGGCAAGTGCAAGGGCCTGAGTTCAATCCTTGGGTTTTTTTTTTTTAATTTATTTATTTATTTTTATTTATTACATTTATTTATTGTGTGTGTGTGTGTGTGGCCAGCTCAGCCCACCAGGGGGCGGGGCTGGCTGGCATGTGGTGCTGGGGGATCGAACTGCGGTCCCTGTGCTTTGCCAAGCTTGTTTCAAGTAGGTGCTTTAGACCACTGAGCCATCTCTCCAGTCCCAATCCTTGGGGTTTTGAAAAAAAAAAAAAAAAAAAAAAAAGGATAGACGGACTTTTAATCTGGCTCATTACCTGGGCTCAGATGACCCCTGGGTACCAGGGGCACTTGGATATAGAGGGCACGACACCTGCTCTGAAAGCTACAAGTATCTACAGATGACTGTTCTTGGGGGTGGTTGGGTTTTAGGCAGGGTTCTCTCAACTCCACAGACCTTCTCTATAAGTAGAAGAAAACAAAGGGCTAACAAGTGGAAAGATCTTCAACTCCCAGGGAGCAAGGGGACCGGAGATCCCAGCTGGAATTCAGGCTCCCTCAGGGGCTGCCTCCGTGGCTACATAGTCACACTGGATTTATGGTTTGGACTCTTTCCACTTTCAGAACAGCACTGTGATCACAGGACCGACATCCTCTTCCCTTGCAGGACAACACAGCATACGGTGTTTATTGCTTTCCTCAGATACAAAGTCTACAAGAGAGCTGGGCTGGGGGCTGACCCAGGCCTATCATCTTCGCACTCAGGAGGCTGAGGCAGGAGTGCTGCAAGTTCAAGCTCGGCCTGGACTACACAGCGAGACTCTGTCTCCACAAAAACCAAACCAAACTCCCCACAGAAAAAGAGGCCTGGGCAGCGAGCCTGTGTCACCGTCTTCACCAGGCTCTCCAAAGTAGCCATCGCTTGTGCACAGCCATGTAACACGTTCCAGGGCAGGGTCCTCAGAGCATCTCAGGAGAGAAGGCCGCTTGGGTCCTTCCCCTGCTAGCCAGCCAGCAGCCCAGGCCCCTGCCAGCCCCCTCCTGGGCCTCTGCCCTGGCCTCGCCTCGCCTCACTCGCCCAGGCCCTGGAGGTCTGAAGGCGCCTACCTGTAGCGCTCCTCCTGCAAGCACTGTGTCATGTATGTGTAGTCCCTCTGCAGCTGCGTCTTTAGGTCCTCCATGGAGTCCTCCAGATGTGACTGTCCCTCCTTGATCTCCCGCAGCTCCTCCAGCAGAGTGTCCAGGTTTCCAGGCGCACCGTACAGCGTGTTAGACTTGGGGCTCCCCAGAGCACCCCCTGGCCCAGCCCCGGAATTGCTGCCTGCCCCGGCTGAGCTGGCGCTGGCACTGGAACACTCATCATCACTGCCGTACTTGGGGCTGGACACGAGCGTGGCGCTGCCGCTGAGCGCCCGGGATGCCTCCTCAGGGGCTCCGTCCTCCAGGGGGTCCTTCAGGTGGGCGATATTGTCAGCACTACCAAACTTGTTGCGGATGAGGCTGGCGAACTCCCGGGGTTTGGACACCACGGCGGTGTGGGTGGCCTGCGACAGGCCAGAGAGGCTGCCCTTGACGCCCTCCACCACGCCACCCCCGAAGCCACTGATGCCTGCACGCATGTTGGCACCCACATCCTTGAGGCCCTGCTGCATGTCACGCAGCACGTCCTTGGGCTGCCTGGAGGGCCCGTTCTGCTCGATCTCCTTCAGGCGCCGGCGGTAGTGCTCCAGCTTCTTGTGCAGCTGGGCGATGGTCTGGGCTGACTTCTGGTTCTTCTTCTCAAACACCTGCTTGATGCGTGACACCTGCTGCTTGTCCGCATTGTTGGCCAGCTTCAGGTACTCTGCCACGTTGTCGTCCCGTGCCTCCTGCTCGATCTTGATCTGCTCTGTGATCTTCAGGATCTTCTGGTGCAGGTGATCGATGGCAGCCTTGGTCCGCTGGGGGTCTGGTGCCCCCTCGGGCACGTCCAGGCTGATGGGGCCATCACTGTCACCATGGCCAGTGCCTGAGGGGAGGCTCAGGGCCACGGGGTCTCCCTTGTCACCCTGGGGAAAGAGGCAAAGGGAAGGCACAGATTAATCATGTGGCCAAAGGCAATAGCTCAGCAGTATGCTGTGTCCAAGGGACACCTCTGGTCTTGGTCCTTCTACCTGGGAAGCAGATGCAGGAAACTCTAGCAAGTTACTCAACAACACAGCTGTGAAGACAGAACCTCCAGGCCAGAACTCCTGCTGGGACCTGCTTACCAGGGTGCCTGAGGGTAGATACCTTGGAAGGACAGGGTCTGTCCCAGGGGACTCCACTTCCTCACAAGACTGTCTCAAGCTGCCTGTTCTTCAGAGTGACCAGAGCTGCCCCTTTGGCCTAGACACTGTCCCACCCTGTCTTCACTGACATAGCCTGTCACCCATCTCTCTGCTATCTCTTGGGGGCCCTCTGTTACCTTCCAGCTCTCTGAAGGCAGCAGCAACCTCTTTCGCTTCATGAAGGTGGAAGCACCCACCCTTCCCTGTCCCCCAGACCCAGGAGAGGAGTGTGGCCCACCCCTGCCCTGGCCTGTAGGCCAGGTCCCAAGATCTGGAGTGTGGGGCGAGTCACAGGCTAAGGGCAGCAGAGCACACTCTGGGGGCCTAAGGGGAACGGCCGCCCAGCTGGGAAATGCAAGGACATGCAGGAAGGAAGCAAGAGCCCCTCTTCCCGGCCCACCGCAAGGCACACAAGCTTCCTGAGCACATCAGGGAAGCACAAAACTCAGAGAGTAGGAAAAAAGGGATGGAGAAAAGGAGAGGAGGAAGGAAGGGTCACAGAAAAGAGGAGGATGGAGTGCCCTTGCTGCCACGCTGGCCTGGAGCCTCTCCTGGGGCCGCTGTCTTGCGCCAGCCCGATGGAGAATCTGTCTGCAGTGAGCTCAGGCCTTATCGCCATGCAACAATGCAACAACGGAAGCGGCAGGAAATGGCTCAACCCCATGTATTTTTACACAGCAACACCCCGGGTAAGTCCGGGTCAGATCTTTGTGGGGAGGAGCGGGGTGAGCAGTATGCAGGGTGGGGGAGGGGGTGAGACACAAAGAAAGTGGCCGGGTCACATGCACCGGAACTGGAAACAGCCCGTGCCAGCCACAGGCAGGGGCGGCTTGCTCCACATCTGCCAAGGCACAAAGTTATTGGAAAACCCCATTGAAAACAAAAACCCTGACAAACCTAGGAGCCAGGGAGGAGCCAGGGAGAAGCCAGAGAGGGCGGTGCCTTGGGGGCTTCCTCTGGGACTGTTTCAGGTCCTCTTAGGATGCTGGGGAGGAGGACAAGGCCTTCCCTCATCTCCCTGAAGTCACACTGTCTTTGGCTGCCTTTGGGTTTCCCGTGTCCCCTTGCCCTCCTAGTCTCTGGGTTTGTGCTTTCCTGATGTGCTCGTGGAATGCTGCTCAGAACATCCAGCCTTTCAACCACAAGAGCCTCTTTCCCAATAGCCCTTAATGATCCACCCCAAGGCCTAACTCACCATCTGGCTTCAAACCCAGGGACAGCAATTGGCCCATCTCTGCATTGTCCTGACTCAGCATCCAGGCCTGTAGAATGGGCGTAACCTTATCTCATCTCAAGTCTTCACTGAGGCTGACACTGATGGTATCTGCCAAGCACTTAGCAGTAAGAGCCATACAGAAAGCCTGCCTCTGATCTAGGCAGTGCAATCTTTTGTTCCCCTCACAGCAGGGAGGGCTATACCACTAAACTGTGGTAACTTTAGTCAGCAGAGTATACTAACAAATATACTCAGTACTGACAAAACCATACAAAACTTGTTTTCCAGTGCTGGAGGTTGAACCCTGGGCCTCTCAAGAGCTAGGCAGGAGCCGGGGAGATGGCTCAGTGGAATAAGCACTTCCCTGGCAAGCGCAAGGGCCTGAGTTCAATCCCCAGTTTCGCAAAAAAAAAAGCAAGCACTCTCTCCCCAGCCCCCCAATTAAATTCCACATATCACGCCTGGCCTTTATCACGAATGTGGCACGGCCTCCGCTACTCCCTGCCAGGGCAGAACATCCAGGAAATGGGGTCCAGTTGCAGGGTTCTTCTGTCAGCTGGAGAGAGAAGAGCTGTCCGTCCCACCTGCTGGGGGCCAGTGGGAGGAGCTCATGAGAAATGGATGTGAATATGCTGTGAAAAGCGGAAGTGTTTTTGGACTATAGAAGAATGTGAAATAGCAGATTCTCGCCTGCCCTGGCTCCCCTGTGGCAGCTCTGCTCCTTCTTCCCTCAGTTTGGCATCTGTCTAGCTTACAAATGGAAAATCAGAGTCAAAGCTGTCTGTGAAATGTCAGTGAATGAGGAAAACAGACAAACTTGGGGCCTAATGGTGGGGAGGCCTGGGGCTTGGGTCCTGTTCCCCTGGCCCAGTCCTGTCCTGCACCACAGACTCAATCCTGGGGTCCCTGCAGCAAGACACCAGTTGCTTTCTGCCCCTCCTGCCCAGAAACCTTTCGGTGACAGGAGGGTTCATAATGCCAGGGCCCAGTCACAAAACATCTCTGCTGTATTGCCTCCTGGGGACAGCTCTGCCCCATAGACTCCCCAGGATGTGAGATCTTTTCCCTTTGGTCTTTCAGCTTCTCTCTAGACCTCACGTTCCTATTCTAAATGCCTTGCATAAAGGACAAAGATAAGAACTTTACATGACCGGCCCTGGGTGCAAGGGGCAGCTCTCAGAGCCTGCCACACTCCTATCCTAACATAACAGCCCCACAAGGCAGGCAGCACTGCTAGTCCCACTTCACAGGAGGGGAACAGGGGCCCACACGTACGAATTTAACTACCTTGTCCAGGACTACACAACTAGAGAGTCAAAGGTGGAGATGCTGTATCCTTGGATGGTCTTGCGTGGGGTCCTGGTCCTCCGTGCCTTCCAGTGTCCTCAACCGAGGCCTGGCCTCACTTCAGAGCAAGTGAACTGGAATTTCCCACAGCATGATTGTGGGACTTTGCACCCCAAGTGAGCAAGGGGAAAAATGGAGCTCCCCACTCTAACACCACCTGACATCCCTCTGCCAAGTGCAAATCCTCAAAGCATTCAAAGAGTGTAAATCTCCTCCATAGACTGCGTGTGGGCGCAGTGACATCTCCAGCTTTCAGCACTAGAGCTGACCTCTCCTAGTGGTTGCCAGGAAGACGGCACTTGTCCACCCGGCTCAGCCCTGTGTGGAACATAGCAGTGTGTGTGTGTGTGTGTGTGTGTGTGTGTGTGTGTGTGTGTGTGTGAAGGGCATGCACATGACGTAGGGGAGACACCAAGATCTCGTAGCAGTTTTTGCTCAGGGTGAAACATTTCAGTAACCACAGTAACCACTTATGAGTGACTGGATGTCCTGAGGAAGCTCTCCCACCAGTGGGCAAACACATCACAGAGTGACCACAAGGTCTGGACTGAGGCCCAGCTCACCTCTGCCTGCAGTCCGAAGCCCAGGAAAGCAGCATATTTTTTTTCAGCATTGGAGAGCAAACTCAGGGCCCTGTGCATGCCAGGCAAGCACCCTAAAACTGAGTTATACCCCTGGCCCTTTAAGAAAGCATTTTAGGGCTCCTCCCCACATCACTTCTTCCTTAGATCCCAATCCACACATTGCCTATTGGGGAAGCAGGCAGGAGGTCAGGGATGAAGACAGAGCCTGCCTGGAGTCCCAGCCTGGTAAGCGCCCCTCTTCACAGAGTAGAGTGGCTTCACCCTGGTGCAGCTCCACAGTTCGCATACTCCGCACTGCTATCATCATACACAAGCTAAACACATCTAGGATGGACAAGCCCCACCTCTTCCTCCCAGGTCTCTAGTGCCAACTGCCAACTGGAAGAAAACTCCAGCTCTCCCGGGTCCTGGCGGCTGAGCTGTCTAGTCCTTTGTGGGAAAACAAAACTGTGCAAAATCCCCCAATCCTGCTGTAGGATCCTGGCTGTGAAGCCCCATGAACTCAGGAGAGCAGACATTGCAGGGCCAGCAGGATGGAATCGCCCAGAGCTGACCCCTCCTTCTAGTGGATGCTAGAAACAGCACTCCCTTTCCTGGATCTCCTCTGGCCAGGGAGTCTGAGGACACCACTCCTTCCTGCCCCTGGGAGGCTGGCAGCACCTGCCACCAGCTGCTCCATCTCCGGCTATAGGGCACCCCACTTGACACTGCTCCCTGAAGAGGCAGCAGCAGTCTGAGCGAGGCGGGAACTCTCCCCAGGTACCTGTGTTATGGCAACGGCTCCCTTTCAGGACCAGAGGAAGATAGGGTGATGGGGGCAAAGGAAGCCCAGGAGCTGCCAAACAGACACACAGACGTAGAGGACTCTGCCTTCACAGAGGAAGGAGAACGAGAGAAAAAGGAGGCAAGAGCACCGCTGCTCCAAGTGATGGAACAGGAGCAGAACAGAGCCTGAGCAGAGGAAGATTTGCCAAAAATGACTGGTAATGGGACAGAACATAAGCCTGTGCAATGCAATAGGAAGGAGACTGAATTTGTAGCTGGATACTGATTCAGAATCCTGGTTCGATCAGCTACCGTGTGTGTGTGTGTGTGTGTGTGTGTGTGTGTGTGTGTGTGTCTGTCTGTCTGTCTGTGCACGTCACTATGCTTGAGCTGCATCTCAGCCCTTTTAGCTACCACCCCTTTAATTCTGAGACAGGGTCTAGCTAAGTTACAAGCTTCTCAGGCTAGGTTCAAACTTGTGATCCTCCTGCCTCAGCCTCCCAGAATGCTTGGATTACAGGAGTATGCCACCACATCCAGCTGTCATTACCCTTTTTTCAGTCTGGTTTCTCTCAGCTGGAAAAGAAGGGTAATTCTGCGTACCCTGAAGGGTTACGGAGGGATGAGACAAGACTGTGAGTAAAGGACATGAAACAGGCACGCAAAAGCAAATGCAGCTTAACATACTATGCAGAAGGACTGTGGTATATTTTTATAAGCAAAACAGCGTCTGTGAGTATGTGCCCCAGTTGGAATCCTCACACATCACTGGTGGGAAAGTAAAATGGTAGACACTGAGGCAAACGCTGTGCTAGTTCCTCAAATAC